GCTGAATAAAGACAACCCTTTCTTCAACCAAGGCTCTAAGGACCTTTTTGCTGGTTACCTACCTCGTAGATCTGCATGTGAAGGGTCTGTGAACTGGCTCAAGAGGTCTGAGAGACCCAGCCCTACCTCCACACTATTATATTAAACTTGTTCTTTCTACTGTGACTCTGCCCTTGAATTCTTTCCTGTGGCGGAGTTAAGAATCTGGAAAGAGGACTGGGTGGGTTGATGCTAACTACCAGGACCCCCCCTCCCCGACCCTACCTCCGACATCATAGCCACTCCTTTTCTAAAGTTTTGTTCTGGAAGGGAGTGAGTTTCACTCAAGAGATCCTAACTTCTAAGCCTGTTGTCACTCTTGGGAATGCACTCCCTCCTCTGAGGTCGGCCACTCTGGCCTTGTCCCTCCTCGATTCTCCCACCTCCTCCCACGGCCCCCATTTTCTCCTCCTCTGGAATGGTCACTCATAATCTCTCCTCAAAAGATTTGGAAATTGAGGTCGGCCACTCTGGCCTTGTCCCTCCTCGATTCTCCCACCTCCTCCCACCGCCCCCATTTTCTCCTCCTCTGGAATGGTCACTCATAATCTCTCCTCAAAAGATTTGGAAATAATATTAGCCTCCCTTTCCTGAAGATAGAGGTGGGGAAAAGACATGCTGAAACTAATCCTTTTTCTTTTCTCTTTGTTAACTTACTTTATTTCAGTAGCCTAGGGAGAAACTAAGAGAAAGGTTCTATGCTGAGAATGAGGGAGTCTGGATATAATTTGAAGCACAGAACACTAGAATTGAAGGGACCAGGGAGACCTTCTAACTAGTTCATTTTATAGTTGCTGTCCTGCCCTTGAATAAGAGCTAATGGAAATCAGCTTACATTAATACTCACCAACATCAGAAATAGTGCCCAAGGAGGGATATCCAGTGACTCTAAGTCACTGCCACTAGCAGATGGCAGGTGCAGTCCTGGGGTGACCTGAGCAGCAGAGGTCAAATAAAGAAACTCACCTCTTATAGCGGCAATGCACCTTCTCGTTCACTGTGCTATTTTTTTTTTAAAGATGACCGGTAAGGGGATCTTAACCCTTGACTTGGTGTTATTAGCTCCACGCTCTCCCAAGCGAGCCACAGGCCGGCCCTCATTGCACTTTTTTTTCAACCAGGAGAGAGACCATAATACTTTTTCATTAAAATTTAATTTTTAAAATTATGTGTACACATTTAAAAGGTTGATGTTACCAGGCAGTCACGTCAACCTCATCTTAAGACAAAAGGGGCCGGCCCCTCGCTCACCTGGGAGAGTGTAGTGCTGTTAGCACTGAGGTCACGGGTTCAGATCCTATATCGGGGTGGCCTGTGCGCTCACTGGCTGAGCGTGGTGCTGAAAACACCAGGCCAAAGGTTGCGATCCCCTTACCAGTCCAAAAAAAAAAAAAAGAAAAAAGTAATATTTATAATATAGATTAGATTTCACTGAAAAAATGGGAGAAACTACTGAAGGATTGCAATATATCTTTTATTGACATATTAGGAACACCTAAATAATGGATTTTGATACATCTTTGAGCACATCGTCAGCTTAAGACTAGGAAATAACACTGCAGAGAACCAATTCAAGCAGCACACAGTACATCTGAAGCACAAACACACACTGAGGAGGAAGGTCAGACACAACCTGCATTTGCAAGGTACCATTTACTTGATAAAATTCTAAGAGAACTGACAATGGATTTTTTAAAAAGGCTTTGGAATGTCTAGAAATAAAACCAAAGTTTCAGACTTTAAAACTTATCACATTCTGTAATACATTTTGATTAACAGTCCAGAGATTTTAAGTAGATGGATTATTGAAACTATAGTTTGCAGCTAACTTACATAGCAACTCTAGGATTCCAAAAGGAAAAGCTAACCTCTGATCTAGCAACATATTTGAATCTAAAAGATGCTTTCAAAAAGCGTTCCTATGAGGTCCATAAATGTGGACAAAAGTACTTATTTATGCATAAACCATGATAAAGTATTTTGGTTGTTGTACTAGTTTAGAACAGTCTAATTCAGCTAATGCATCGTCGCATACTGATGAGATTAGGTGCTCTCCAGATGACTGTCTAGAGAAAGGCCGATGAAAAGGTCACAACTGACTGGTGCAGGCAATGAATGGCTGGAGAGTACCTGATATTAGACCCGCTGTCCTGAATGAACGACTCATCACGTTTGGCATTTCACCTAAGCTAATTTCTATGAATGTACCACATTTGCTACTTAAAATAAATTAGGCTTCCAAATCTCAGCTAAAGGTTTAGAAAAATGCTCCTATGCGGTGTCTGGCTATCCCCACAGCTGGATATTAGTAGCAGAAGTTGGTTTTAACTGGCACTAAGAACAATTAGAAAAGTACTTAAAATGTGTAGTGTGTGCGTGCATGTGTGTTTAATGAGCTGCTGAGAACAATAACTGTCTGTGTGATTCTCTCTTTACTACATGGGACAGTTGTTTCTTTTCCTATAATCACATCTACTTGATAAGAACTGTTAATGATTGAATGGTTCTGAAAAGAATATAGGTCATCCACACTAAACCAAGTTCATGAGCTATAGAATTTCACTAGCTTATGTGTTTTTCTTCTCATTTTCTTACCTTCCTGCAAGATACAAGACCATTAGCACTCATATTTGTGTGTGTTTGCCAAGAATCCTGAAGGCCCATGTTAGTATTGATTAGTCATCTTACTAAAGCACAATTGGAATTGTCTTTAGGTTTGTGGGAGAGCCTAGCCAGACAGCGTCCACACCTCCATGCAGCTTCGTTGTTCTTGACGTATTTCTACTATGTACACAGTAAGTCTCTAGAGCAATGGTGATCAGCCCAGTGGTGTTGCCCCCAGGAGGCATCTGGCCATGACTGGAGACGTTTTTTTTGGTTGTCACAACTGGGGGGAAGGCGCCACTGCCACCTAGTGAGTGGAGGCCAGAGATGCTGCTAAACATCCCACAAAGCACAGAACAGACAGCCCCCCCACCGCAGAGAGTCACCCAGCTCTAAATGTCAGTGTGCTGAGGCTAAGAGCCTGCCCTAAAGGAATCATTAAAAAATAAGTACTTTGTTTTGTTTATAACGATCATTAGCATTTTGTTTGGGATATTTAGATAAATTTCTAGCAAATGTCATTATATGAGGGTACTTCAAAAAGTTCATGGAAGGATTCATGCTATCTTTCAATTCTATCTTTTCCATGAACTTTTTGAAGTGCCCTCATAGAAATGGTAAAAGATGTAGAGCTTATGTGGCAGAATTCTTTTACTTTACAAATGAGGTTAGAGATCAGTATTTATAGAATCGGTGGGGATCTCAAGGAGATACTTGATTTTTCAGCTAGACTTTATTCCATTTCGTATAGGATATGATGTATTATTTGAGATTTTGAGGCGTCTGAGGTTTAAAGAAATAAAATTAGCTACCTCTTAGCCAATGACTTCTTCCTGTACCAGGCACAATAGCAGGCATTTTCAATTTAATTGTCACACAGCCTTGCAAGTTAAAGTATTACTAATCCCATTTTCCAGATGAGAGAACAGAGGCACAAGGAAGTTAAGTTCAAGCCTGGCTCAAGGTCACACAGCTGGTAAATGATGAAACTCAGATACAAACCCAAATCTGCCAGACTCAAAGCCTTTTCTCTCTCATCTACATGATGCTGTCCCCAGGGACTACTGAAATTTCAACTACAGAGCAAATATATCACAGCAGCATGAGACAGAATATTAACGGGACAATAACCTGGAATATCTTCATCTGAAATGTGGCTACATTACACCAGAGGTGCTAACTTGCTGCTTCCCTTCTTGGGTTTGTTCAAAGTGGTTTAAAGGCGTTGTAAAGGTTATTTCTACAAATTTCCCATCACCTAGAAAATTCAGACAGAGAAGAAACCAGGTTTTTCTTGAATTGCCTAGAGGACAATTTGCATCCCCTAAAATTTTCAGGCTAATTGTCCCCACTGCTTCCGGCCTGAGAACCATTTGCTTTACCTTTTCATCTGTGCATATCCCATCATCATTTACCATTCTGCTTTTGCTAGATCGCATCAAGTTTTCTTAAGAATAATCGGGAAATGCTTCTTACAGGTCTATTCTATAAATTGTGTCACATTCAACTCCAAATTCGTTAACTCTGACTTTTTCAGGAGATTTCAACACAGAGCCTATCAGGGCAGGGTTCTGGGGAAAGTTTCATTTCTGAAGCAAGATTCACCTCTAAGGCATCAGATGCTGTGCCACATCAGAACTTGGGATTCATGTAGATGTGATATCTGGGGACTCAGAGCACATCCAAATTAGTATGTAAAAAATTATGTCACTGGAAATTTGAATGATCTCAACTATGCCATGGTTGGCAGTGCCCATAACAGAGTAACAGGCAGGACCCACATGCCAGAGCCTCTTTGATGGGGAAATTCTGCTTTGACTCCATTAGATAGAACCCAGAAACCCAGATTTAATTGCTTAGGGGTTGGCTTTGAGCTGTTGCACATTCTAACAAATGTTAAAGCCTCATTTTCTTTGTAGGCACTTTATAGATTTATTACAAATGGCACATCCCAAATACCATCTTGTGATTTAAATTTTTGCTTTCTGTTTGTCTGATAAAAAAAAATAACTTGTGTCCACAACTTAGATCATTGTATTTGCTATGTTGCCTTCAAACTCTAAAAGTTTTCTTCCTCTGGAGAATTTTTTTTTTTAATTTCATCTCCAAGACCCAATTATCCTGAGCTCTTTTCAAGTAGGCCTATTAACTTGTGTCCACAACTTAGATCATTGTATTTGCTATGTTACCTTCAAACTCTAAAAGTTTTCTTCCTCTGGAGAATTTTTTTTTTTTAATTTCATCTCCAAGACCCAATTATCCTGAGCTCTTTTCAAGTAGGCCTATAACAACCTAGGGATTATTTGGGAAGTGAAATTCTGAAATAACCCCTGGGTTTATTTCAGAAGTGAAGCAGCACCCTGTCTTCTGAAGTGGCCACACATTGAGGAATGATCAGAACACAGAGAATCCACATGGCTGTGTGGTCTACATTATGGTCCCTTCCACAAACAACATAGATTTTTTTTTTTAATGCCATTGTAAAAGCTTCTAGGTCATAATTTCCTCAAAGTCAGACAGCTGCTTCATCTGTTCCACTTGCATAGAATGCCTTCTGAGGAGCTTCTTTTTACTTCTCAAGTCAACTCTCTTTGGTGAACTTGGAGCAACAGGAACCATAGATTTTAAGCCACTAGCAAGTGGGGAAGAAGGTTTGCTGCTAGATCTAATATCTGGAATAGGTGGGTTCAAATTCACGTTTAAAGGTGGAAGGAAGCCAGGCCTAGTGTGAGAAATGCGGTCTAGCAGCAATGTTCCAGAACCCCGTCTTTCTAGAAGATGTGGTGGCCTACGGCGTGCTGAGCTGGGGGATGTGCTGGGCACGGCATCCAGGGACTCCCGAGAGCCATGGAAAAGAGATAAGTGGGAGCTATTGAGCTTCTTTCTATCTAGGGGTCCTTTGCCTGATTCAAGGGACATGGAGTTGGGCGGGTCAGTCCCTGTCTGCAAATCTAAATCATAGAAGTCATTTTCCAGCCATTTGAGGGACGCTAGCTCCTTGAGAGCAGAGGGTCCTGATGGACCCATGCCACCCTTCTCTTGGTCAACAGGGAGCGTTCCTCTTCTGGCCAGACGCGGGTGGGGAGCCTGACCTTTCTCATAGGCTGCTTTCCAGGATGCCGGTGCCGAAGAGGCTGAAATCTTCAGAACCTGCTCCGTGACTGTGGGCAAGAGGGTAGGGTCTTTGCCATCGATACTGTTGGTTCTGGAGAGGGGCCCCCTTTTAGGAAAGGACACATCACTGATGCTCTTGATGACCTCGTTGTCTGTGCTGGTGCCAGGGGTCTCCTCCTGGCGCACTGAGGCTGCCAGCACAGAGGGTGCGATCAGGCCCCAGGGTTCAGACTGGAGCCTCTTCAGTTGGGGCAAACGAGCCCTTTTGAGGTTACCAACTTTCCTCGTGGGTGACCCGGGCTCATTAAGAGTCTTGGATGCATTGCAACCACTTGAATGCCCTGTTTGCAGGCTGAAGAAGTCATCTTCCTTCTCACTGGGTGGAGAGCCCAGGCCTGGTGCCTTCAGTTCGATGTCAGAGGGAGACGCACACAGTGGAGGCGACTGTCTGTCTTCTTTGGGTGAAGGAGGGACGTTAAGATACTGTTTGGTGGTTTTGGTTCCTGAAGATGATTTATCCGTTGTTATGATAATCACCTCCTTCCCTTTGGCTTTGCAGGCATCAAGGAGATGTCTTAATGCGTCCTTGTCATCTGCATTTATTGCATACACCAGAGCTGAAGCCCCAGTGCGATCCTCAAGGCTGGGGTCTGCTCCACTCTCCAGTAATAAGGAGACCACGTCTCCCCCAGCTCTTCTGATGCAAGCATGGATGAGCGCGGTCTTGCCAGACTTATCCTGGATATTGGGGTCTGCCCTGTTGTCCAGCAGGTACTTCACCATCTTGGGCTTGCTGATGCTCTGCTGGTCTACATGTTTAGTGATGCACGCCACCATGAGAGCTGTTTCTCCTTTGTCGTTACTTTCATTGATATAGGCTCCCCCTTCCAGGAGCAGTCTGGTCAGCCTGAGCCTTCCCAGCCACACAGCCTTTAAAAGGGAGTTTCCATCAGTCCTCAGTTCAGTGTCATCGTCCATCATGCTGGCTACAGCTTAGAGTCTCTGCGCCAAGTGGCAATCAGACCTAGCAAGGGAAGAAGAGGGGAAAATGTCATGTATTCTATAGCTGATCTGCGCAGCATGGTTGTTACAGGGTCTGAGTGCGGTCGTACCCTAGCCTGATCCCAAGTTATGTCACCTTGGCCAAGTCATCTAATGTCTCTGAGTTAGTTTCTTCATCTATAATGGGGTCGGGGGGCCGGCCCGGTGGCGCACTGGATAGTGCGCCGCTTGGGAAGCGCGGCGGCGCTCC